AACTTTTGCTTTATGTGTGGTAGGTTAGGGCATGCTGAGAATAGATGTCCGAATAGGTATGATGAGGGTTTCGTGGACCCAGGGGAGAGGCTCCCATATGGAGTTTGGATGAGGGCTATTATTCAATCTGTGGGTGAAAGCCCTCGCTCTCCATTACAGATTGCGAGTAATTATCAATCGACACCGAACCAACCAATACTTAGTGGACACCACACCTATGTAGGGGGTATTCAGAAAGAGAACGTGGACTATCGGCAAAACTCCATATGGGGGAAAACAAATAGTCCTGATGTTGTCAGAGATGGAGGAGAGCTAGTGAACCATACGATACAATTTCATATGGGTGCTACCTCGGAGCAAAGGCAGCCAAAGGCAGTGGCAAGGGGAAGGAAGAAGAAGGCCTCTGATTTGGGCCTTTCGGACAGAGGAACATCGGGCAAACGACAAACACTACACCTTCGAGATGAAGACCTAAGTTCAACGGCGGAGACTGCAGAGCAGCTCCGCCGAGAATTATGAGTTGTTTATTCTGGAATTGTCAAGGGATCGGGGCACCCTTGACAATTCACGTTCTCGGAGATATTCTCCGACACCATTGTCCCCTGCTAGTGTTTCTTTCGGAAACGAAAGCAACACAACAGACAATCGAGAATTTAAAAGTTCGGTGGAACCTTAATAGAATAGGAGTGGATAGAGTGGGAAATTCGGGGGGGCTTGCATTATTTTGGCAAAAGGAGGTGGAGGTAGATCTTCTCAGTTACTCAAATCACCATATTTATGCGGAGGTTTCAGATAGAAACCACAATAGCAAATGGCGAGTGACTGGATTTTATGGGTACCCAGAAGTGCACCGAAGACATTTATCTTGGACTTTATTACGAAGCTTGGAGGACATTAGAAATCTTCCGTGGATAGTTGGCGGCGATTTCAATGAGATCCTTAATAATGGGGAAAAGAAAGGTGGAGTTCCACGGCAACCATCACATATTGAAAATTTCCGAAATACCTTGGAGGAGTGTGGCTTGATGGATTTAGGCTATGAAGGACCTACTTACACATGGACAAATATTCTGATAATATTCTGGTGGCTTTTGAGATAAATCATTTCATTAAACTAAATTCTAATTCTAGAACTAATTATATGGCTATTAAGTTGGACATTAGTAAAGCATATGATCGGGTCGAATGGTCTTTCTTGAAGCAAATTCTTTCTCGTTTCGGCATTCCTACTGGTTTCATTGACCTAGTTATGTTATGTGTATCTACTGTTTCGTTCTCCTTCTTATTTAATAGTTCGCAATTTGGTCACATGCAGCCGTCAAGAGGTCTTCGACAAGGTGACCCTCTCTCTCCATTTTTGTTCATATGTTGTGCTGAGGCACTCACTACCATGATCACCAAGGCTGTGGACCAGGGAAGCTTCCATGGAGTTCGGGTGGCACCAACAGCCCCGATGGTTACTAGCGTTTCCTTTGCTGATGATACACTTATTTTTGGAAAGGCGACAGAGGAAGAGGCAAGGGTTCTGAAGGACATTTTGCAGAAGTATGCTAGAGCATCAGGGCAGGAGATCAATTTTGAAAAGTCCACGATGAACTTCAGCCCTGCCACATCTATATCGAAGATGAATGCTATTCACCAAATTCTGGGTTTTCGTGTCGTTGACCAGCACGACAAATATTTGGGGATGCCAGCATCTATAGGAAAAACGAAAAAGGAGATTTTTGCGTACCTTCGAGATCGGATCTGGGCAAAAATGCAAGGGTGGGGAGAGAAACGTTTATCTAAAGCCGGTAAAGAGGTGCTAATCAAGTCGGTCCTCCAGGCGATCCCTTCATATGTGATGGGTTGTTTCTTACTTCCAATTGGCCTTGTGAGGGAACTCGAGGCAGCAATCCATCGGTTTTGGTGGGGAAACGGAACGGCTAAAGGGATGCATTGGCTCGCTTGGAAGGAACTGTGCAAATCTAAAGAGAATGGAGGAATGGGCTTTCGGGACCTTAGATCATTTAATTTGGCGTTAGTGACCAAGCAAGCGTGGAGAATTCTTTCAAATCCGAATCTTTTGTTATCAAAGATTATGGCAGCCCGTTATTTTCCACATGGGAATTTCCGAGATGCACGTATAGGCTACCGACCTTCGACGACGTGGCGGAGCATTTGGCATACTCTTCCTTTTTTAAAGATGGGCCTTAGGAGACGGATCGGAAATGGGAACGACACTTCTGTTTGGGCAGATCCATGGCTTCGAGATGGAGGGAACTTTCGAATAATTACCAAGAGACCTGTGTACACGGCTTTTCCAAATAAAGTGGCAGATCTAATAGACAATTCGACAAATCAGTGGCACTTAGAGACTATACAAGAATGTTTTTGGCCGGTGGATGTTGGTCGTATTTTAGAAATTCCGGTGGGCAGCAGCTTGGCCAGAGACACGTGGGCCTGGAACCCCTCGAATAATGGTAAGTTCACGGTGCGCTCTTGTTACCACATGATTCTTGCGTCTACTCAATCATCAGATAAACGAAGTAGCGGGGGAAACGGTTCAAACAATGGTGTTGACTCTTGTAAGTGGAATATTATCTGGAATCTTGAGATACCACCAAAGGTTAAGGTCTTTTTGTGGAGACTGTGCAGCAATATATTGCCTACGAATAAAAGTCTTTGTGGTAGAAATGTAGTTCTCTCACCTTTTTGTGGGCGGTGTCAACGGGACGAAGAAACGGCTTTGCACGCAATCATTAATTGCGGTGGAATGGATGACTGTTGGAGGTCTCTCTTACGTGAATATTATCACCATTTCGATCACACCTCTGCATGGAACTGGTTGACGGGTTTAAAAGAGAATACGGACACAGATCAGTTTCTCGTTGCAATGATTTTAGCATGGAAGGCGTGGGATAAACGAAACAAGGAACATAAAGGGCAAGCGAGCTTAACCCCTCCAGACTTGGTAGACTGGTGCAAAAACTACCTGGCCATATTTCGTTCGGCTCAAATTCACAAGATCTCTCCACAACGGTATGTCCACACGAGCACGTGGCATCCTCCGCCAGTTGGTGCTGTTAAAATCAATACGGACGCAGCAGTTTCTTCGGGAAATCTTTTCTTTTCCGTCGGGATGGTAGCGAGGAATGATGAGGGCCAATGCATTTGGTGGAGAGATGAGGGCCAATGCATTTGGTGGAGAGTGATTAAGTTACCCGGCAACTTACATCCTGCAGAATGTGAAGCGACGGCAGCGCTCAAGGCGCTACTCTTGGCGCGAGAAAAATGGTGGACAAATGTGGTGGTTGAGGGTGACAATCTCCAAGTTATCACAGCTTTGCAACATGGCGAAAGCGATTTGTCGTCCTTTGGTTTATTGATAGATGAGTGTTTGCGCCTTTCTCTAGATATAGAATATTGTTCTTTTAGTTTCGTCAAGCGTACGGGGAATTTGTTAGCCCACGCTATTGCTCACTTTGATTGCAACTTTCTATCGGAGGGATTAGTTTTACCCTCGATCTTGGTTGGTTAGCCGTAATATAAACCTTTTCTCAAAAAAAAATAAAAAATTTTGAACCCTCTTAACGATAATTATGGATTTGCTAGTAACGGTATGACTTGTGTACTAGAAAAATACAACAAATGAAAAAAGTTTCAAACCCAATGAATGATAATCGCAACTATAATTTTATAGACTTCAAATACTTTATTATCAAAATTCTATTCAGTACAAATAATCTCATAGAATAAAAGTTTTAATGAATTGTTTATATTATTACAAATAGATGTTATACTAAAAAAAATATTTTTCTAGATGATTTATACTCATCAAAAGTAACATATTAAGACAACTATCATCAGAGGAAGACTCAAATATGTTATAGAAATAATACTTTTTTATATATATATATATATATATATATATATATATATATATATATATATATATATATATATATATATATATACCTGGTGAGTAACTAAACATGAAAAATATCAAATATTTAAAATATGTGATATTTTAAATAAGGAGTTTTTATACATAAGTCATGATCAATCCTTTAAGATGTATTATACATTAAGGTAAAATTAATGTATATAACAAAATTACCCCTAATCATTTAAATCAATTTTCTGATTGTAATCGTAGTTTAATTTCAATTTCATCAATTTTGACCTAAAAAAAATCATTTTTTTTTCAATTTCTTTATTTGCCGCAGGTTTTCGTAGTTGATTTTTTTTTTCTGTATTTTTTTCATATCTGTTTTTTCTGCTGCTGGTTTCCGACATCGACCGACGGCAAATAAAAAAATAATAGGTAAAGCATTAACATCAACAAAACCATTCCATGAACATGAAAGAGCCCATTCTCAAAAAAAAAAAAAAAAAAGAACATGAAAGAGCCCATTTCGCCGGGTGATGAGCAGCTTCATTAGCACTCCGATGACACAATTTAAATTTCCACTTCGGCCATAAAACCATTATTTTTTAATTTTCATTTCAACCATAAAAACCAAAATTTAATTAATACAGTAAAATTAATGTCTCATACAGTAATATTACTGTCTCAAACAGTTAAATTGTTGTAATATTTTTTTTTGTAAGAAAAATCTAGATTTCAAAAAAAAACAAAAAAGTCAATGACGGAGCCCAGCGCTACTGGAAAAAAAATTAAGGAAAAAAAAAAATCAACATCGAAAACTGACGATTGACCTGCCGGAAAAAGAAAAGTTTTCAAAAATGAATAATAAAAATAAAGTCAACGGTGGCTGACTGGCGGTCTCCAGTAATGACGGTTAAAATTGGGGTCAAAATTGATTAATTGATAAAATTAGAATTACCGTGTAAATCATAAAATTAGAGCTGAATTATAATTTATAACAATTAAAGATAATTTTGATTATATAAAAGAGTTTTCATGATTTACAAATAAATGAACTAAATTTATTTGACAAAAAAAAAATTGAATATCAGGTTTTAATTAAGTTTTTTAATGTTATTTGGCATTTGCCATTTGCCCTGTTATTTTATCAATACATACATACAATGAATCAATCATTCAGATTTCTTATTTCACACTTCTCATCAATCCAACAGAAACCAAGAAAGAGACAAAACCCAGAAAAGAGGAGAGAGAGAGAGACGCAAGAGAGAGAAAGAGAGAAGGGAAAACATGGATTTGGAAGCGATACTTGCATCTATGAATCAATTAAGAGCTTCTGCTAATTCATTTTTATCTCAATATGAGCCCCTCGCTCTGATTTCCATACCGATTTTCACGCTTCTTTTCGCGCGAATTGTTCACTCGATTTCTCGTCTAGTTTCCGACAAAGGACTCAAATCTACAATCCTCGACTTCTTCATGGCTTCCCTCAAGTAATTTCCAGCTTCAAAAATCTCATATTTGTTTTTTTTTTTCCGATTTTTTTAGAATTATTGGGCAATTAATTTGTTTGAGCGTCTTTATTTTTTTATTTAATTTATAAATGTTTTTATTGATTAGGTTGGTGCCTGGAGTGAAAAAGTACATAGATGCTGAAAAACAAAAGGTAAATGTTTTGTATTTTTCTTTTTTTTTTTTGTATATACTGAATTATTTTATTGATTATTTTCTTTGTATATATTTCATTTCGTGAGGTATTTTTTATTTATTTATATTTTATGTGTGTTCAATATTGAGGCTTATGTATATGTGAGTTGCCCTTTTCTTGAAAAATATGATTAGTTAAAAAAATCTGGCATTAATTGAGCTGCAAAGAAAGAACACATCAATTAATTCAACTCACTGCTTCAATATATATATATATATATATATATATATATATATATATATATATATACACACATACCGAATTGATGTAGTGATATTATTGATTCGAGTCTCGAGCTTGAGCCGAGCTCGAATCAAAACCATCGTGTAATTTGTGCGTAGCTCCTTGTATTGTTTATGATCGAGCCTTAGTCGAGCTTATGCAACGGTGTACAATCTACTATTTATCATTCAAAGCGCCAAAGTTAATAATTATATTTAAAATATATATACGCACCGTAATTATTATTCGAAATACAAAATTATTGCAAGGATTATATTACGAGCTCGTGATCTCATGTGCAAGTTTTGAGAAGTTACATTTTATTTTCTTAATCGTCTGAAAGTTATAAACTCAGAGTTTCATCTAAAAGCATCGGCTTTGTGTGTGTGTGTGTGTGTGTGTGTAGGTTGTGAACAAATTGCAAGGTTCTGGTAAATCGAAGAGAGAAGGTTGGAGGACAGAGTTGTCAATGACAGGCTTAGGTGCTGACGTCATCAATAAAATGAAAGACGAGAAGCAAAAAGACGTCCCGTGGCAGGGCAAATGTTCTGGTACAGTGTATGTTATTTTAATTTTAATTTTAATGGTTTTTATAAATAATCTCACCATCCAATCGCGCTCGTTTACTGAAAATATACTAAAATTATACCACGTGTTTCGTATAGCTACATTGCAGGAAATGAACACGAAGGGCACTTTTCTCTAATCAACGAGGCGTGCTCAATGTTAGTAAGATGAATCGAGTTTCTACTGTATACTATACGCTTTAGCAATTTTCTTGAAAAAAGCTAATATAAAATAATGTTTTATTGATTTTTTTTTTTAAGGTTTGCACATACTAATCCTCTGCATCAAGATGTATTCCAAAGTGTCGTAAAATTCGAAGCAGAAGTCGTGGCAATGACAGCTGCATTACTTGGCAGTAAAGAAAAGTCGTCCGGTGGACAAATTTGTGGAAATATGACTTCGGGCGGGACTGAAAGTATATTAATGGCCGTGAAAACATCGAGGGACTATATGAAAATTAACAAGGGCATAACTTGTCCAGAAATGTTAGTAAAAAAATTGTGTCCGTTTTTTTTTTAATCATCGTAATTTGATATTTGAAAGGGTATTATAGTAATAACTAACCGATTCATTTTCTTGGAAAAAATAGGATTATACCAGTTTCAGCTCATTCGGCGTACGACAAGGCTGCACAGTATTTTAAAATCAAGCTGTGGCGTGTGCCCGTGGGCCCGGATTTTCGAGCTGATGTTAAAGCAATCAAACGGCATATTAACCGGAACACAATATTGGTTCGGACTTTCATTTAATACTTTTTAGACAGTTTTTTTCATTTTTTTATTTTTCGAAATTTTCTTTTAAACCTCGTCTATTGCAGATTGTTGGATCAGCGCCCGGTTTTCCACATGGAATTATTGACCCGATTGAGGCATGCAATACTAATCCACTATGTTAATATTTTGGTGCATTTTTTCGTTTACAAATTCTAAGATTAATTTATTTATTTTTATTATTTTATTTTTTTGTAGGAGATGGGCGAGTTAGCTTCCACTAACGGGATTTGTTTGCATGTTGACCTATGCCTAGGTGGCTTTGTATTACCTTTTGCTCGTAAGCTTGGGTATGAAAGATGAATCCTGTTTTTCTCCCTTTTCGCTGATTGTTTTTAAATGTGACTACTGTCATTTATTTTTTTCGAAATTTCTTTTATTCTCCAATTATTTTAAATAATAATTCTAATAAAATATCGTCACCGTAGGTACCCTGTACCGCCATTTGATTTCTCTGTTGACGGAGTAACGTCTATCTCTGTGGATGTACACAAGTACGGACTTGCTCCGAAAGGAACAAGCGTCGTCTTATATAGGAATCACGAATTACGCAAGGTATTTCGCTCATTCGGTCCACTTAATAAAAACGAACGCTAAAGTATATAACTATTTTGTTTCGTTTCTTTATAAACAATGTACTAATTATTTGCTGCCGGACCACTTGTCAATCTGGATTTTGTTATAAAAGAATCAATTTGTTGCTGGTGAGTTACTGCTCTCGTGCGACACTCTTTATTACTATTTCTTTTTTAGCGCAATTTTTAAATCCCGTATATTAATAATTATTTTTCGATTGTGTTAATAATAAATACAGTAACCGAATGGAGTGGTGGGCTTTACGTATCTCCGACAATAGCTGGAAGCAGGCCCGGAGGTCTAGTTGCCGGGGCTTGGGCAGCAATGATGTCTCTTGGCTTAGAAGGTCTCACATTTTTACCCCTCCAATATTTATTTATTTACCATTTTGCCACTCAAAAAATCTAATCTTTTCGATCTACGTTGAATAGGGTATCTGGAGAACACAAGGAAGATAATGGAAGCGTCAAAGAGAATCGAGAAGGGGTATGTATCAAATCTCAATCATCATAACAAACTCTTGATGATCAAAAAAAAAAAAACAAATTGTTTTGCGATCTTTTGTTTTAGGCATTATAAAATTGTATTTTGATTATTTTTCTACGGATTTTTTGTAGGGTCCGCCAAATCCCGGAACTGTTTGTAGTTGGAAGGCCAGATATGACGATCGTGGCTTTTGGATCGAACGTTTTGGATATATTTGAAGTAAACGATATTATGTCTTCGAAAGGATGGCATCTCAATGCATTGCAGAGGCCTAACAGGTAATTAATTAATTAATTAACCTACTTCGCATTCATGTTTTTTCTTTTTCCCACTTAATTTTTATTTTTCTTACATCATCGTTTTATTACATCGCAGTATTCATATTTGCGTGACACTTCAGCACGTGACGGTGACTGAAGATTTCCTCAAGGATCTGACGGACTCTGTCCAAACTGTAAGTTCATTATCTATTGACGAAATTCATTTCGGAGTCGATTGTTATTTTTTTATATGGGTTGGATTTATTTAATTTTTGGTTTTCATTAGGTAAAAGCAAATCCAGGTCCGATAAACGGAGGGCTTGCTCCAATATACGGTGCAGCTGGGAAAATGCCGGATAGAGGCATGGTTCAAGATTTACTTGTTGATTTCATGGATACCTCATGCTAATATTTTGACAATTTTTAGATAAGCCAATATTCATGTGACATTTCAAAATTGTTATTTTGTGGATATATGATTTACTGGATGTAATATTCTTGTTTATATAAACTTCAATGAATGCTATTGTTAATGTTCTTGGGTAATTGACACTCTGCACCCTTAAATTGAAAAAAAAACACTTTGCACCCTTAAATTAAAAAAAATAGCACTTTGCACCCTTTAATTATAGTTTGATTGGCATTTTGCACCCTTCTCACTCCTGTTGTTGCTATACAACTTGATAAATTAGTAACATCGCTTAAATAATAGTTTTTTCTTGTCCCGACTCATTAAGAACCTATAAGATTATTAGTTTGATAATTTAATTTGTCGTTAAACCAATAGAATTTCATTGGCTTAATTCAACTTTGCACCTTTGAAATGTGGCATTTTGGCACTTTTGCACCCTTGAAACAAATTAATAGCACTTTGCACCATCGAAACATAATAAATCATTCGCAATGCACCATTGAATTGAATATTTAAAACTTAATGAGGTAATTTCATTTTTATTGGTTTTTATATTTCCAGGGTGCAAATAACAAATTAAATTATTATTTTCTCACCCTCAACATAATTTCAAGCGTACATTATGCATGATTAATTGTGTTTCGATGGTGTAAAGTGCTATAATTTTTTTTCAAGGGTGCAAAGTGCCAAAATACTATATTTCAAGGGGGCAAAATGGGATTAAACCGAATTTTATTAGTTCTAACTCTATAACTTTGTAGAGGTTTAGCTGTATTTTGTTTACGTATTCCTTTTTCATTTTCTTTTTCTTTTTTTTGAAAAAACAATATATATTACTTCAAAATCAAACAAAAGTAGTTTCTAAGTCATTTTGCAAATATTATAAAGAAAAATAGAGCAATCATCAAATTTTAATAGCCTACATTTTTGTCAAAATATCAAATGCCATATTTAACTCCCTAAAAAAAATGATCACAACATGTATAAAACTAGTCACTATATTCCATGAGTGCATATCTCTGTGGATCTTGTCTCTCCAACTAGACAAACAATTAAGAAGAAAAGATGAATTAATTTCAATAATATATATATATATATATATTTCTAGTTGTTTTGGCTATACTTGTTGTTTGATTCTATCCCCATATGACTTGAAAATAATAATGTTGCAAAACTATATACCTTGATTACTTTTACTTTATTATAATGAGTAACAAAATAATTTGTTGTCAGAATAATATAATTTCATTTCCAATACAAAGCGCTAAAAAAATATTTTGTTGTTGACTTCGTAGCCATTTCCAGATAACATAAGCGGAAAGTTCCAGCCAATAAAAAATAAGTTGGTGTTTGCAAATGATTATTTAAAAGTAGAAGTTTGTGATTATTAGTTAAGTCAGTTTTAAGTGTTTATTTCTAAAAGTTGGGGGTGTTTGCAAATATTCCAGAAAATGAACTTATATAGAAAAAATAGGGTTAGGGGTGCTTTTACAAAAATAACTAAAAGCAGATTATTTTAAGAGAAGCAAAAACAAAAGTTGATTTTGCAAACACCTGAAAACAGATTATGAACAAAAAAAAGCTCGTAATTACTTTCAAAACACTTTTGCAAACACCACCTAAAAATCATTGCAAATACATTGAGTATGAACAACAAATCCATGTTGTTGCCAAAAAAATATTTTAGCCAACAATTACTATTCAAAACAAATAAAATCTAAATTGAAATAAAAATTCACATTGTTATTCTAAAACACTTAGAGCATCTCTGACCGGTCTCTCCATTTTTTCACTAAATCCTATTTATGGTGCTGAAAAAATGGGTTTATCTCCCACCGGTAGCACACCATTTTACTCATCCACCATTTTTGGTGGAAAAATGGTGTTTTTGGTCTCCAATGAGTTTCATCAAAATTTAGACAAAATATTAAAATAATAATATTTCACCATTTCATCACTTATAGGAAATGGGATTTGGTTTGGTCTCCCATGGCATTTCACCATATACGCCCCAAAACTATAAATATAATGTTAATCGTAATTTTATAATATTTTATTTCCTAAATATTAATTATACATCCAATGTTAAGTAATAAATTTTCTTAACTATATAATTTAAAAATTATGTTATCAATTTTAAAAAACTGTCTAAACATGAAATAACATGAACTCAAATTATTTTATAAATAACAAAATCATATATAAACAATAATCTCATAAATTATTGCATAAATCATATATTAAGTACGACATGAGAATTTAAATAAGCAGTTCATGATGATTTAAATTTATATAATTTGTGTTATTTTTTATCATATTTTGTTATCATGTTATGTTGTTTGTTATTTTATGAGCTATGTATTTCAATTTAAATGTCTCGTCCTGTATTTCATCAATTGAAGTGTGTTTCGTTAATCATTCTATTGATGCTTATTATATTTTATTAATAGCAATTAGCGTATTAGTTAAGTAAAGAAATGAACTAATAAACATTGATACCAACAAAATATACAAATTAATTAAAAATAAGCATATTTATATTATTAAAATTAATGTTTTGTTAATAATAACAAATGTATTTATATTTTAAAAACTAATTTAATAATTAATACCCCCTGTTAGATGATTTCGTTTACTCCGTTACCCTCTCCGTTTATTTTTTGGATGAAAACTGATGACATCATTAAAAAAATTAAGTAAACTATCTATTTTACCTCTCCACAGATGAGTACATGTTATGCCAAATTGTACTTTTATATGCATAATAATTGTAATGTTATCCATTTACCTTAATGCGTCTTGTACTAATGTAATATATTACTTTTACTCCCTAGACTTCTCATGATATTACATTAACCTCCCCTGTAAATTTAGTGAATTTGTTTCGTAAAAATGAGGGTAAAAATGACATTTTACATGTTCCATTAGCATCTAAATAAGGGCGGTTTACACAATTTGTGAACTAAGAGGAAGATATTTAACAGGGGTTCGAGTGAAATTAATCCTAAAATAAAGTCGAGGTATGCTATTACTTTATTGTCGCTTCAAATACTGTAAGTCCAACAAAAATTATTGCATATTTTCTAGGGTAAATTACAAACACCCCCCTGAGGTATGGTTAAATTACAAAAACACCCCTCTTGTTTGGATAATTACAAGCACCCCCTCAACTCATCAAATTTAGTGGAATCTTCGAGATTCTCTGGAATATTATCACTTTTGTACCCGTTTTATCCCATTCAAACTCTACATTATGAAGCAAGATGATCATAATATGTGATTTTTAGCTTGTATATATCAGTTTGTGGTGCATCGGAAACTGTATTTTTTACACAAAAAGAGTACAAACTAGAGCACATTTCACGGAATCTAGATGACTATGTTGAATTTGGCACCATAAAGGTGGAGGTCTAAGAAAAAATCATAGTTGAGGGGGGTAGATGTAATTATCCAAACAAGAGGGGGGTTTTTATAATTTAACCATACCTCAGGGGGGTATTTGTAATTTACCCTATTTTCTATTTTTCTGTATGAACTCTTTTGTTGAAGGGCATACAAGAAATTTCAATTATACTACTACTTTATTGTTTGTCGTCTAATAATTGCAAGTTCAACTCAAATTATTAATCTTGTATTAATTTATGGATGGCCATGGGGCGGGTTTGGGGCGGGTTTTGCATTCCCCGCACCCGTCCGGTTAACAAACCCGTTCAACCCGCACCCGCCCCGCTTCGCAGCGGGTACAAATTTTCTCAAACCGCACCCGCCCCATAGAAAATCTGCGGATACCCGCCCCGCCAAAAAACCCGTAAATGTGAAGAAAAAAGTAAAAATAAAAAATTTAAATAACCCAAAATGAAAGCAATAATTCTAAATCAAAATATCAAATGTATTATAAAATTTTATATATATATATCAGTGTTCTAAAAATCGGCCGAGGCGGCCGATTAATCGGTCGCCGAGGCGGAGGCGGTCCAAAACCTTTACGATTTTAGTGTAAAGGTTTGAAAAATCGGTTTTTTGCCTGTGAGGCGGTTTGAGGCGGTCTGAGGCGGTGCGAGGCGGTCAAACCTTTAAGGCGGGTCAAACTTCGGTGGCAAAAATCGGCAAAAAATTGGTCAAAAATCGGTTTTTTTTTTTTTTTTATAAATCAAAATAAAAGTTGGGATTTTAATAAAAAAAAAAAGGAGTTTATGCTTTATTTTGTTTATGTTAATTATTATTGTTAAAGAACTAATGATGTATGCCAAGAATGTATATAAATTAAAAAAAAATTGCCTTTTTATTTATATTTTATAAGGATATTTATGTATTATGATCTTATTATTATTAAACTTTTATTATGTTATTAGAATATATACATGATGGAGATGTAACTATGTTTAAATATTTTTTATCTACGTTTTGAGTATTTATAAATAATATCTACAAATATATTATATTAAATTTTAAAAACCGATTTATTTCCGATATATCACCGATTAATCACCGCCGCACCGATTAATCGTGAATCGGTGCCTGACCGACTCGGACCCGATTACCATTTTTTACAACCTTGATATATATATATATATATATATATATATATATATATATATATATATATATATATATATATATATATATATATATGCGGGCGGGTACGGGGCGGGTATATACAAACCCGCACCCGCCCCGAACCCGTTTTCGGGTGAAAAATTAGAACCCGTACCCGCCCCATTTATTTGCGGTGTGTCTGTATATAGGGAGAAAAAAGATATATATATAATTAATATATATATATATATATATAT